CCTCATAGATATCCAATGTTTTGTTGGCAAGAATGCCGTGGCACTGGCCTTAAACGGATCAAACCATTAGGCGCAACCTCAACATCACTCCTCGACAGCGAAAGCAAACCACTGATCATGAAGCCCATGAGTGTTAGGCGGTAACACTTTTTGCGAAGCTCCTGCTGGCACAACCTATTGGTGAAGGAGGAAGCTAAATCTGTCTCCTCCTTCGATGTAGCCAGAACAAGAAAAAAAAAACACGACCGCAAGAACGGGACATGCAAGCAATCAAGCAGCCGCTGTAGCTGTATCCAGCCCTCACCACGTCGCGATAAGTTCCCGCATGTCTGCCTGGCGTGCCCGCTTTGCGGTATGCGCTGCGATCATCGCTATCCTCGCTTTCANTTTTGTTGGCAAGAATGCCGTGGCACTGGCCTTAAACGGATCAAACCATTAGGCGCAACCTCAACATCACTCCTCGACAGCGAAAGCAAACCACTGATCATGAAGCCCATGAGTGTTAGGCGGTAACACTTTTTGCGAAGCTCCTGCTGGCACAACCTATTGGTGAAGGAGGAAGCTAAATCTGTCTCCTCCTTCGATGTAGCCAGAACAAGAAAAAAAAAACACGACCGCAAGAACGGGACATGCAAGCAATCAAGCAGCCGCTGTAGCTGTATCCAGCCCTCACCACGTCGCGATAAGTTCCCGCATGTCTGCCTGGCGTGCCCGCTTTGCGGTATGCGCTGCGATCATCGCTATCCTCGCTTTCAACAGGTGGTACACGGCGTCTCCGTTGCCACTCTCCTCCGCTGCCGCCTCTAGGTACCCGAAGTGAGACAACAGTTCAGCGTAACCCGGTGGGGCACGCCGCCCGCGGCCCGCCTTTCATCGTCGCTACCCCCCTCCTCTTCGTCGTCCCCTTCTTCGTCCTCCTCCTCTGACTGGGGAGACACGTGCGCCCTGATTTCCTGCATGCCCTCCTCGATGGCCTCGCAGCTGACGCTGCTAGCCTCGCCATGACGTCTCGTGCTCTGAATGTTGTTGCGCTTCACGAATCTCCTGGCCCACTTGTCGCCGGCCTTGAATTCCTGGAGCCTCGCCCTGACTGCTGCAGGAGTTGTGGGCTCAGCTAGCAGGGTTGCCTTGGCGGAGCGTCCGAAGCATCGAATGACGTCGCGTGTGACAGACATCTTGACTTTCCGGGCTTTCTCGAGTAGATCAAGATCAATGGCATCCACCTGTCGGCAAACAAAGAGTATCACAAGTTTCAAGAGGGTTGAGGTAATCCAATGATAAGCTTCGAATATTTTGTTTGCGTGCATCCAACATTGTGCGGCGCATTCAGGCTGGACCTCGTAGTTCATAGTGTTAAGCCGCTATTTGCTTTGTGTTTTCGAGTTTTGTTCCCATTTGTTTGTTTCAAGTACACTCTGAAGGAAAATACTTGGTTTAATGCGCAGGAAAAAGCGACAAGCGTGCACGCCACATGTTAGATTGTGTATGTATACTGGCATGCACAGTCGTGCGTGCGGATGATTTTTTTTTGACATCTCTGTCGCAGGAGCACAAAAAAACAGAAAAAAAGGGTCCCATGCAAGGGAGGAGAAGAGAAGAGCTTGAACAGATTCACAAAAAAATGGACCTCGAAAAAACGAGAAGGCCTCGAAAAAAAATGTGTCTCGAAGAAAGTATTCTGAGAAAACAAACAAGTGCTGCAACAACAGAAGATTGACATCACTTTGTTTAGCGCACCCTGGGATAATCTCCTTTGCGGATGTTTTTCTTGCTGCCGCTGCCTGCTGCAGCAGCCTCGTTCTCCACCTTCTCCCGCTCGGCCTTCACTTTGCGGATCAACCGTTCCGAGCACCCGAAGCGGTCTGCTATCTCCACAGACAGGTGGCCAGTGGGCACGGTTGTACGGGGGCGTTGTGTAACCTCCGGCCAACGGTTTTTACATGGGATAACGTGGGGGGGTTACAGGCCGAGCGGGCATAACGTACCGGGTTATGAAAGCGGTCATGCGCGGATTGGTGTGAATGAAGGAGGAGAAAAGAGAAAAATATGTGTGAGCCTTCGGATCGGTGTGAAGGAGGAGGAAAGAGAAATGTGTGAGCCTTCCTTCCCCTCCATTGCTACATTGCATTCCACCATTATTTGTGTTATGTTTACGCAATACATCGATTACTTTACTCTACGTCGAATTGATCGGCGAAGAAATCATAACACGGGGTAGATTGGACCAGCAACTTGTGTCTTCAAAATTTAGCGGTAGACCACTACGCTGCACGTTGAAGCATATTTAGACCTGGCATCAAATTCTATGGTTTTATAGTGGGGGCGGAAACAATGGTGCCAACACCACCCACGCGGCCGATAAGAGCACACTTATACTCTGCGGTCCCCCCCCCGCTAAAAGCAGAAACTCCGAGTAAAGTCCTCCATTACGAGTCATTCGATGGCAAGTTTTTGGTCAGCTAAGTTTTATGTTCCACAGCAGCAACAACATATATATACGAAGTATAGAATTATTTAATAATGATGCTGAGCGCGCAATTGTTTTCAGCAGAGATTATATTATGAGGAGTGGCCAAAATCGGGCACACCCGGCCCCAATCCGGCCATTTTCGGTTACACTTGTTTTTCACAGTCGGCAACGCCCTCCTGGCGCCATCTGATTGGCCGACGGCCGCCCCTACCCGGCCCACAGGTGACCAGTGGGCACGGTTGTACGGGGGCGTTGTGTACCCTCCGGCCAACCAGGGGTTATTACATGGGATAGCGTGGGGGGGTTACAGGCCGAGCGAGCATAACGTACCAGGTTGTCTACTCTACGTCGAAATGACCGGTGAAGTAAACATAACACGGGGTGGATCGAACCAGCAACTTGTGCCTGTAAAATCTAACGGACGACCGCTGCGCTACATGTTGAAGCCTATGACTTTATAACAGTTTTTTTTTTGTGAAAAGTGGGGCCCGTTAGGGGAATGCTTTTTGTTTTGTTTTAAGAAGAAAGCTGTTTAGAGGGATCGTGTGTGGAGTATGTGCGCACGAGAAAAAGAATAATTTTCATGCACAGGGGCGTGAAAAGTTCGCCATGGCTGTCTGTNAAATACCCAGCAGACTCGAGCCCATTTCACCATCTCGGCACCAAATTGCAAACTAAAACTTGCGCACAACAAGTAACATTTTGCCCGAGCTGTCCCAACCGCTACCTTTGCAATCCGTGGTCGGTGTCTCGAGATAGCACACCGTTTGTGCAAATATATATGTCACATGGACGCATCCCCGGGAGGCGTCATTTTTGTTTGTTTTTTTGGCAACAAACTACTCCAACTCTAGTATATTTTTAAGGAGACAGACGTACTTACGTGTTGTCGTATTGACTTTGTAGGTAGTATTTCATCGCCTACTCTGTCTCTCGTTTTCTCGGTCTTTGCTTTGCCCCCCAATCTTTGCCGTGCGTGTTTCTACGCAACAATATACATATCAAATAGAGTAGGCCCATGTCTTCTATGTTGCTTCCGGCACTACATCATGATCATCAGAAGATAAAGATGGCTCTCGCACTTAGGAACTTGGCAGTTAAGAAATGCGGCCTTGAAAATAAGTGAAAATTAAAGAAATTGACGCAAATAAATAATTACAACACACGTGCGTGCTCAGGCCCGACGTGGTGTTAAGAACAAGAACGAACCCGCATTTCTTTGTGGTGTAAGAACAGAGCCCCAAAAACGCGACAGCTGCAAGATATAATGAGCACTCACGAAGGGGTGAGGGGCTACTCGCGGGGTGAACGGTGGGCAGTTAGTTGCAGATCAGCGGCGAGGAGGAGGTTCCTTTGAAAATAGTACTGGTGGTGCGGAGATGGGGGGGGTGTAGTGTTTTTATTTTTGCGCGTCCAACCGTAGGCAACCATAAAAAATCAGTCTTACAAATGCCGGCACTCTTGAAGTATTGTTTTTTTTTATATGCCGCGAATGTCCGATAAATCGGTGTGTCGTGTACTCTGTGGACACCGGCTGGTACATAGTTTTCGCGGCAAGGCATGGACATTCTCGGGCTTGGACAACCGGTTACCTCGCCTGCAACCAAGCACAGATTCAAATTTCCCTTAACTGGGTTTGGACCGGCGTTTCGGAACCCTGCCTAACCTTGGAGGTTGGTAAAGGTGCGCCCGACCGGGTTACGCAGGTTGCACAACGCCTAGGGGTTACAGGTCACTTTACCCCCCCCGTAACAGTGCCCTGTGTACTCTGCCTTCCCCCCCACGCAAAAAGCAGAAACTCCGAGTAATTAATGGCTTCCATTACCAATCGTTCAATGGCAAGTTTTGGGTCAGCTAAGTTTCCACAGCAGCAACAACATATATACGAAGTATATAGAGTTATTTAGTGCTGAGCGCGCAATTCTTTTCAGTAGCGATTTTTTATGTAATAATACTATATTCGACCACTATTGATATATATATGTGTTTTTAGGAGACAGACGTACGTACGTACGTGTTGTCGTATTGACTTTTACAGAGAGAGGCAGCGTATGTATATAGTATATCATCGCCTACTCTCTCTCTCTCTCTCTTTTCTCAGTCCTTGCTTTGCCCCCCGATCGTTGCCGTGCGCGTTTCTAGGCAGCAATATATATATCAAATAGAGCAGGCCCATGTCTATCTATGCTATGTTGCTTCCGGCACTACATCATGATCAGAAGATAAAGATGGCGCTCGCACTTGGCAGTTAAGAAATGCGGCCTCGAAAAAAATGAAAATCAAGGAAATTGACCACACAAAAATATTAACGACACGTGCTGTGCTCAGGCCCGACGTGGTGTTAAGAACAAGAATGAACCCGCCTTTCTTTGTGGTGTAAGAACAGAGGCCCCAAAACGCGACAGCTGCAAGATAATTGGCCCTCGCGAAGGGGTGAGGGGCTACTCGCGGGGTGACCGGTGGGCAGTTAGTTGCAGATCAGCGGCGAGGAGGAGGTTCCTTTGAAAATAGTGCTGGTGCGGAGATGGGGGGGGTGTAGTCTACTGTTTTTATTTTTGCGCGTCTAACGGTGGTCAACTATATAATGATCGGGCTTGGAAATGCCGGCACTCTTGAAGCTTTTTTTTTTTATTGCCGCGAATGTCAAAAAAATCGGTGTGTCGTGTACTCTGTGGACACCGGGTGGTACATAGTTTTCGCGGCAAGGCATGGACATTCTCGGGCGTGGACAACCTCGCCTGCAACCAAGCACAGATACGAATGTCCCTTAGCTGGGTTTGGGCCGGCGTTTCCGAACCCTGCCTGACCTTGGAGGTTGGCAACGGTGCGCCCGACCGGGTTACGCAGGTTGTACAACGCCTAGGGGTTACAGGTCACTTTAACCCCCCCGTGTCCGTGCCCACTGGCCACCTGTCGCCCTGACTCTATTCCCACCGGGTGCACCCGATCTTGGCTACTAACCCCCCGGAGGGGTACCCGATCTTACTCTCGCCTTCCCGAAAATGGCTGGGCTATTCGACCAACAGACCTCCAGCAGACGACCCTCACGAACACACGTCACCAACACCCCGCACTCGAGTTCCGACGCTTCCGACGGCGGGCAGAGGCGGACCTAACGGTATTTGTCTATTTACGCCACCGGTGGCGCAATTTCTTATATGCGCCACCTTCTCGTTTGAAGTAGATCTCGCTCCAGCGAGTAGATCTCGCTGCTCAACCCACCAAATCTCTCGTGGTTAATCTCGGCACTCGTGCCAGAACGGTAGACTGGCATCGGCAGAATGTGAGCGATGAAGTAGAGAACACCGCGGTCCTCGCGCAAGGCGCGTGCTACTTCACCACCAGCCATCTTAGGACAGCGTTCATGCTGCGTGTACCACCACTCTCGCTATCTTTCCCCATCTCCTGTGGCAAGCTCGCAGTTCCTTGACTCTCCCACGTACTCACGAGAGGTCGAAGTCAAGGAAGTATTATCGCTGTTTAAGGGGGGGGGGGGCACCCTATAGGTTAGGGGGGCCGTGAACCGTAACAAAAAAACATGTAAATTTAACCGGCGGTTCTCCGCGTTTTTGGGAGGGGGGACACGGGGGGCTGCTCTAAAACCAAGTCAAAGGTTGGCCATTTCAACCCTCCAGAACAGGCGCCGTGCACATTCACACGCCACCGTACAAGCTCTACAGGCCAGATCATGGCAGAAACTACTAGCCCCGTGTCAAAGCGTACCCGTAAGTCGCCCCTGGGGCACGAAAACGGGCGCCAGGAAGGTCCGCCTCCGTCTGCTCCAGCTGCTGATACAACCCAGCAACTGGACCACGGCAGCGAACATGACACCACCTCGAAGGCAGCCACACGCGGAAAGCAGCCCTCCATGACCGCGCCATCTCGTGGCGCTGTGGCGGAGGGCGAAGATGACCCTCTTTTCGACGCTCCAGTGGACGCAGGAGAGCTTTGCCCGGGTCTGGTCAGGGTTGAGCCTCCCAGCCTGAGCAGCGAGGACACAGCAGTCGCGATTCTACAGCATGCGAGGCTTCACCCGGAGACCATCCGCAGCTTCATCCAGAAGAAGGCGGAGGAGCTGGCGGAGAGAGTCTGTGATCACCATCAGCCGCCCGTCAGCTGGCAGGAAGACCCGTGAACTACCTCCTGCGGGCTGCACCAGTCTGTTGTGTTTGCCGCTGGTCGGCTGCAGGTGTGGGCATGATCTCTAGGCGGGGTAGAGTAGAGCATGTTCCGAGCATGTATGACTGGGGTTTGTGTGGGATGGGATTCAGCTAGGCGAGGATTGGGTGACGGTGGCGTCATATATTGCGAGTCTTAGGCAGCACCTCGGCCGCACCGTAGACTGCTGTTTGGCTGTTGTGCGTTCTCGTGGCGAGAGCGCAAAAAAAAAAAAGGCCCGATTGATCACGTTGACTAACACCCCTCGTGTCCTCGCCGCCTTTTTTTTTTCTTCTTCGGGTCTACTAATCTAGCTACATTGGTAGAGGAGACCGCCGCACTTGCCACCCTCAACCGCTCCTGTTCACGCATTCGCATAATTTAAAAAGCGAAGTGCTACAGNACACAAACCGGCGAACGACAAGAACCGCCGTTTGTGGGGTAAAATTGTTGATGGGGAGATGGCAGTGATCAAGCACATAGAATGTGTCACCGCCTCACCACAACGACCGTCCCCTGCGTCACGCCCCGCCAACAGGATGTCTTCACCAGGTACAAGGATGACCCAGGGTACTGCGTGGCGAAAAGGGTCAGGAACCAGGTGCACTACGACACCGCCAAAGACCTTGCTTGGATGCTTCGGAAGGGGTAACCAGTTGAAAGCGGGCGAGTGCATGCGCGCGGCTACCAAGGTCTTCGCTGGCGATGGANTACCCTGGGTCATCCTTGTACCTGGTGAGAACATCCTGTTGACGGGGAGGGGGGTCTGCTAGTGGTTCTATCTTCGGCTCTCGCGTTTTTTCTTTTTTTCTTTTTTTTGCTCGTGTGTTGCTGTCCTTCCTGTCGCGTGAGGACTCTTGGACCGTTGGGGCGTGGGGCACGTGGGCGCCGTGCGTTTCGCGGCTCCCGTTATGTCGACGTTTTTGTGCGGATGAAGGGATACTTTTTTTTGGGCAGTGGGTCTGGTTTTTTTATCGTCGGATAGACATTCCATCGTCGTGATGCCCGCCTTTCCATCGGGGTATGTATGGGGTGCCATTCAATACAAGGGCAGGATTTCATGCGACCCCAGTTTGTCCCTTGCGTCCCACGAAGGGTTGTG